GAGCAACGTGAGACTTCCAAGGACGTCAAAGTCGGTGGAGCCTGACGTGGGACTAGCCCCAGAATCTTAAAAAACTGCTCGGCAGTAGCCAGCGGGGTGATGAACTCGACGGGGCTAGGCTTCCAGCACAGTCTGTACCTCGCCATCACTCCCGTGAGAAACTGTGCCAAATGCTGAGTTTGGGATGTTGATCTGCCAAGTAGATAGAGATTGCCACGCCAAAGAATATGAGTAGATGGATGACTGCTGATGATGATGCCTAAATCATGCTCCCTGAAATATGTAATAGATTATCTCAGTACCTCCCCCAGGACAACATTCCACTTCATAGGTGCATCAGTCGACCCCTGACGCTCGCACTTTGTGAATGGAACAGATTCGGGCACAGGGGCGCCTTCAAACGCTGCTTCGAGGTGGCAGCCTACATTCTCTCTCAAGGGCGACGCAATAAGGTCCCCTGGCACATCCCGTTTTTGAAGGCATTGGGCAACTTCACGGCCCCTGAGGTTGTCGAAAGCATGGTAAACATCCCCCATGAACATCGCAAACGGCACTCCCCGGGCCACTCGTGCGCCTGGATCCGGAGAATTGAGGCTGGACCAACCACCTGGTTGCGTGCCATATGGGGCTCGAAGCCCATGATACACAGGTGCCTGATGGAGAGGCCCCTCGGCTGCTGAAGCATCAGCAGCGTGAGAGACGGCATGTGCCACTTCGAAGTAACAGACAACAGCGTGATCCCGCGAAAGTGCTTGAAGATGTCCCTGGCCGCAGGTTCTTCAGCGAGGAACGACGTGACGATGGCTTTTCAGGACCCCGCGGGACCACCTCCAGATCACAAACTGGACGCGAAAAGCTCGAACACCTCATGCGCGACCTCGACTCCGAGGGCCGGGATCATCTCAGAGACAACTCCATCACTACCGCCAGCTTTGCCCGAACTGAGGCGACTGCGAGCCTGCAGTGCATGATGTACTCTAGAATCACGAGCAGCCCGCCTACCTCCTCGATCCCAAAGCTGCTGCGCCCTAGCCAGCTGCACCTCGTCCGTCTCGTCAGGATCGAAGTACTTATACTTGCAATACCGCCGTGCCACAGAGCCCCATTTGGATACCTGCTCCACCGCCTTGCCCTCCACATCCGCCAACTCTCTCCCAACCGTAGTACGTCCTCCTTCGCGATGCCTCCTTCCTGATGGGCGTTGGATCCTCCACTCCTTCCTCTCCCAGCACCTCCTCTCACGTACCTCCCTCCTCCTCAGCTCTTTCCTCCTAGGGTCGCCCTTTGGGGTCAACTGGATTTGCTCTGCCAGGTGCACGAGGCTTTCAGGCATGGAACAGGCGTCACGTAAAAGTTTACCTCGAGCAGTGCCCCTATCTCAGTAGCCCTCCCCACCATGATATCCCCCAGCTGATTTAACACCGCATGCCTCTCCTCCTCGTGCAGCTCCTCTAGATCCTTCAGGACCCCCTCCCTATATGCGAATAAAGACTCGGCAGACGCTGGAGCCCAACCCTTATGGGCAAGCTTGCGGCCGAGCCGCCGGACAGTGCAGTGCCCTCCAAGAATCTGCGCCCACGCAAGGAAATCATCTCGCTGGGCGCCTCCTACGACGATGATCTCACCATTCGCGCATCACGCTCGAGCTCCCCACGACTGGGATGGCAATGTAATCGATCATGGAGTCGAAGTGCATGCCCAGGTGGTGGAACGTGCGGCAAGCTCTCGAGGTAACGACGGGACCATGCCCCTCCTCTGCAGCATCCAACGTAGTGTGCGTAAAAGTATTGGCGACCTTGGGCCCCCAAGGGAGTAGGGAATCAACGAGGCGATCCTGTCTCTCATGGCTCTTGGCAGTGTCGGCGAATGACGTGGGACTGAAAGGCCCGTGAGATGCGGCATGTTTGGCGGTGACTGAATATTGAAATCTCCCCCCACTACAATATGATTGCACCCCTGTTGGAAACTCCAGGAACGGATGCCCTGAACTTCCCCGATCGCTTCTTTGAACTGTTCAGGCGACTTACTCCTGGAGTCTGGAAGATAGCAGCTCACGATGCAGGCCTCTCCGAAGACCACGCCTGTGGCATGCCAGCTGCTCTTGAAAGAACCCGAATTCGAAGTCAAGGTGGACGGCCAAGCGATTGCCGTCGAGTGCCCAGGCTCGCGTCGCACAACCCATCCTGCAGCAAAAAGATCCCTCGGCCACGAGCTCACCTCCTGGAGTAGGACAACGCAGCCCGCACCATATTCCAATATACCCACTCCAGTAGACCCCCAACTGAATGCACGTTGGTGCGGCCAACGTTCCAAGGCAACACCTGCAAATTCTTGTCACGGGAAACATGCAGATGCCCGAAACGGACACCTCTGGGCGAGGGTCACGATGAGAGTGCGCGGTAACCCGTGTCGACGTCGACGCCGGGGGCCGCAGTCGGCCAATTGTCAGGAAAGGTCTTCCACCCGCCACTCGACGCCGAGAACTCCGCGATCCGAAGGGGTCTGGCAGCTTGGCCAATATACCTGACCACAAGCCTGCCGAAGGAGATCTGGCACTGCAGGTTGAAATCGCCCTTGTTGCGGTTCTGGCGCCCAAGGTATCCATAGAACCTGCCCGCCTGCATGGTCGGCGGCCTGGCCTCTGGGGAAGGCGTGGCCGTGCACTTGACCACCCTCCCATTCACAGTACCACCTGCAGTGGGCACACGATTGCACTCCTTCTGAACCTCCAGAGATCGCTATTGCTGGCCATCGTCTTCATCACCACGGTAAGCTTTGTGTGGAGTAGTCGACCCTGCACCTGGTCCAAGGTCGGCTGCTCGTCGACGTGTCGCCCGTGGTCAGGGCTGAGCGCGGCGAACAAACCATTGAGAAAACGTGTGGCATCCGCCTGAGTCGTGCTCGACGCGTCTGGGTCCTCCCAGTCGGTGATCCAGTTCTTGAACTCTGAGGTACTTGGCGCGGCCTGGCCCCCGACGCTGTACGGGTTGCTGCTGAAACCACCCATGGCTCTCGGTGCAGTCGTAGAGCCACTCGAAGATGCAGCACCCGAAAGTGCCAACTGCCTCACCTCATCTAACTTGGACTCGAATCTCCTCTCCATCTCGTCACATTTGTCATCCACCTTCTTGCCCAGCTTCGCCTCGGGCTCATCGAACCTGGCCGTGGTGCGATCGCAAGCGCGGTCTGCTGTTTTGTCAGCACACCTGGCGAGAACTGCCTCGAGCTGAGCGGCATCCATGGCGGCCGCTCCGAAAGACACAGAGGGTGGTTTTGGGAAATCCTCAACTGCGTCGGGATCTAGTTCGCAAGCCTTGCGAACTCTACTCGTACATGTGTGGAACAGGCTAGTCCCCAAAGTGGTGCCGCTTGAGCCAAAATGGCAAGGAGGAGGAGGAGGAGGAGGAGGAAGGCACGCCAGGGTGTATGCCCTGGCCCGCCATTCACGCATGTCGCGGCAGCGACATCTTTAGTTGTAAAGCAAGGGGGTGTTTTTCAATGGCAGCCACAGTTGTCCTTGATGTTGGGCCACGAAACCTGCAACACTCTTTTTTATATAAAGACCGACAAAAAAACCAAGCAACGGTGATACAACTGGAGAACCTAGAAATCAAAGGTTTTCGCAACTTCAGACTTGCACGGGGGAGGACGGAAGAGGAGGTCGAGAAGCGAACGATGTGTTTGCTTGATTGGTACCCTCACAAGTTTCCTTAATGTTGGGCCACGGAACCGATGACACACCTTCAAATATATGTGTGTGGATCCCTCAGAGGTTGCCTTGATGTTGGGCCACGAAACCTGTGACACTCCTATGTATACACATATGTGTATATACAGATAGAGATACACAAACATTATGACATCCCCCCACCCCCTCCCCCGAAAACACACACACACACCTAAACGTCAAAGGTTTTCGCATATTCGAACTTGCAAGCGGGAGGACGGAGGAGGAGGTCGAGAAGCGAGCGAACACTGTTTTTTTTTGTGCCCTCACAGGTTTCCTCAATGTTGGGCCACGGAGCCTGTGATAATCCTCAAACAAAACACAAACTAAAAACAACTAGCAACTTATGACATTCGGGAAAAAAACCTAAAGACCAAAGGTTCTCGCAACCTCGGGCTTGCAGAAGGAGGACGGAGGAGGAGATCTAGCGAGCGTTTTTGTTGTACACTCACAGGTTTCCTTGATGCTGGGCCACGAAACCTGTGGCGCTCCTAAAATAAAGGACAATCAACAATCACCTGTGGCATTAGTTTTTGTTTTTTTTATTGAAAAAGTCAATAGTTTTCGGAATCTGAAACGGAGGGCGTCCGCCCGCTCTGGGTTTCACCTCCCCGCCTTCCGGAAACCTTTGAAAGGAGTGTCACTGGTTTCGTGGCCCAACATCAAAGAAACCTGTGAGGGCACCAAAAAGAGCAAAAATGTTCGCTCGCTTCTCGACCTCCTCTTCCGTCCTCCCTCCTGCAAGTCCGAATTTGCGAAGACCTGTGTGTTTTACGTTTTTTGGGGTACGTCAGAAGTGTTTAGGTTTTTTTTGAATGTTGCAGGTTGCACGGCCCAACATCAAGAAAACTTGTAACTGTCAGTGAAAAACAACACCCTTCTCCCACAAAAGGATCTCTATTGGAACCGGATGAGCTTGGAATGTGATTTCAATATGAAGACGACGGATTCAGAGCCAGAGGAGTTCGATCCAGATTCTAAGTACATACAAATTGGATTTCAAAAGACAAACGACGGATTCCGCCACAGGCCCCAACAGAACACTCTACAACAACACCAGCATCTACATCCACATATTCGTAAACTTGGACATCTACATAACAACTAAATCAAAAGTGTTCAAGAGCGGTTCCTCTTACCGCCTCTTTCTCTCTTTCTCTCTCTCTCTCTCTCTCTCCATCCCTCTTTATATATCATTAATTCCTTTTCGAAAACGCTGAAACGGCCCAATCCATTAAACGGTCCCCAGCGCCTCCTCCTCCTCATCCTCCTCCTCCTACTCCCCCCCTCCACTGGGCACCTGGTGAGCGTATCGGCTGCACGCAAGAGTGGCCCTGGGCAAGAGTGCCCTTTGATGCGTGGTTCCAGTGGGGGGCTACGGTGGGGCGATCTCCAAGCGCGCAAGCCAGTGCAGATAGCTCTGAGGGGACCCCCTTGGCCCGCACCAAAAGGTCACTCCGGCAAAGGGTCAATCATACGTGTGGCCGAGTGAAGGCGGTGCCTGCCTCCTCCCCCTGGAAGACGGTCAGTACTTGGAAGGCGTGTCGTCGACGACCACGCTGTACATGAGCGGTGAGCAGCTGGCCTGTGCGGCCGCCGCTCCCTTGGGCCACCTCCGCATTCCTTCTCTTTCTCTCTATCTCTTTCTCACTTTTTTGGGGGGGAGAATGCCGATACCGCTACTTTCTGGATGTCTTTACGGGCGCGTTCTGGCCAGGACTTCGGGGAAAATCCAGCAGTGGCGACGATGGCCTCCCGGAGGCCCAAAAACCTCCTCCTCCTCTGAACTCTTTCTCTTTCTCCACCCCTGCTTCCGACGGCTGTACGTAACGCGGCCCTGGGCAAGAGTGACCTTTGGGGCCGCCGGAGGGGCCAAATCCAGCCAGTCCAAGCGTGCGAACCAATGCTGGCGGGACCCCTGTGTGCCCGCATCAAATGTCACCCCAGCGAAAGGCGACTCTGACACATAGCCGATTCCGCCCTTTTCCTCTTTTTCTGCTTACCCCCCCCGTCACCGGCGGGAAAAAGGAGAAATCGCGGGCCTCGGGCGTGCCAGGCGCCTTCTGGTGCGCCTGGCGGCGGGGAGCGCGCCAGAGGAGGAGAAGGAACGCGGGGATGAAGGTGTTTTTTCATCAGCGATCCCATTGGGCCTGACCGTTCAACAAACGATGGCATGCCGAAGCACGGCTGGCACGCGGGCTCTGTGAGTGCCCTCCCTGAAACACTAGAACGTCCGACGAATTTCACCAGACGCATCATTCACAGCTGCCGACATCGCCCACAGGGCGTGGAGGGGCCTCCGCGGTCCCTCCAACAAAAACAAGCGTCCAACGCTGATCGTCGGACCTGGCAGCGAGACCAGGAAGCTGAAGAAACAGGGAGTGAAGGCCTGCATGGCAGCACCAGGGCAGGGAGGGGCGGGTGCTGTCACGGGGCACCCCAGCACAGGACCCGACCCACGACTCCACCATCCACCCAGACAATTATGAAACAGGCTCCGAAATGTCTGATCAGTGCCGGTGACTCCGAGGTAAGGGATGCTGCATGGTGGCTCTAGCCTGCAACGCACGAGAACAAACGAAAGGTGAAGTCCGGCCTGACACCACCAGGGCCGCTCAGCGAGACCTGTTGGCAGCCCTTGCTGCCGCCTCGGCCTCGCGTACCGCCACACGCGCCTGGAGGGCCAACATCCCTGGGGTAGGTATCACTCCAGTGGTCGGCGGGGGTCGCTGGGCTCCATGACAGAATAACGCCGCTCCACGCCTCGTGTTCTCGCTGACCGCGGTGACTGCACGGTAATGATGATACAAGCCTGAAACGTTTCGGCGGACAGTGGTGGGAACTCCAGACAGCGGTCGCTGGAGGCACTCTCTGCCGAGCGTGTGGCGCCGTGTGGAAGAGTAGCCTCCGCGCGTGGTGCAGAAAAAAAAAGTTAGCAGCTGCCCTCCTTTCTCAACGATACAGTGGGCCAGCGCGTGCCCCAGGGAACGGTCCAGGACGCCACGCCAAGTTTTACCAGGAACCTTGCAACCTAACAGGGGTCGCTCCGAGATGTCCGAGGAAAGCAGGAGACAGTGCAGACAACGCGCGCGCGCCCAACACCGAGCTCCTGCCAGGCGCGCCAGCCTCCTGATTAAAAAACTTAGCCCTCGGACCTATCGGCAACCGATCGAATTCCTCCGCAGGGAAGGCCAACCACTTTCGCCGCGAAAATCAAAGACTTACATTTCCTGTCCACCTCCTCCTTTCCATGCATACTGGGTTGGGGGTGGAGGAGGCCCGGTCGTCTGCATGCCAACTACCAACTCCGATGCGTCTCTCTGGTGCGCACGACTGCGGTGCGCGGGGTGTGATGCACGGGCGGAATGGCATCTCTCGCTCGTGCAGCAGGGCTGCACGTCGCAGACCACCATATCTGTGCTTGCGAGAAACTTGACACTGTCTGGGCGCGCCGCACAATATGACTACGTTCATGCAGTCGGAGTGTCGATCGCCTCCACGCTCCTGAAACATTGGGAGCCAAGCCATGCACATATGTTTGGCAGCTTGATATGTCGGAGAAAGGACATCAAGCACCGTTCAACTCGCGTTCGCAACTATTGAATCCTCACGGCCCAAGAAAACCCAAGAGTAAAAAGCCCTGGATGACTCCAGAATCGCGCGGCGAAAGGCCGAACCATCAATAACAACCTCACATCCCGAGAGATCGATGGAACCCCAATCCGTGACTTGCCCCTCATCAGTGTAGAGGATGGGGTTGGGGGCGACAGCGGGTGGGGGGTAGGTGTTTTCATGGTGTTCCCATTTCAACTCATCAGAAAACAACCGATCATGGCTCTCGAGAGCCTCGGCAAGCTATTCAGCAAGGGAGTCGATTGTGACGCTCCTCCGTGGTGCAACAGCCTCGGGGTGTGAACATTGCCAGACTTGATGCCGCACGCTGTCGGTCAGCCCGCAAAGGGGGCACACGCCATCACATAGATATCCAGTAGCCTGGGCACGAGAGCGAGCCCAGATACCCTTAATTACACAAGACACTTAACGCCATGCATATCTGATGCGTGGTCAGCTGGCGGCCTTTGGGACCCAACACCTTTTTGACCGGTTCCACGCAAAAGCGAACGACATTGGCCCCGGGGGGTTCTTGAGAAAGGAACCCGCTCGTGTTTTCGCTGAACAGCGAGCCCGCAACATGTGGGAAATCTTCGAAGGCAAGTCGTGAAAAGTGAGCGGGGTCACCAACCGCCAACCCACACTGGCTAGCGACAGGTGCACGCGCTTCAAAGGGCCACGGGAGGAGCGCCACGTGACCGCATCATTGTACCTGACAGATCTCGACAGCCGGGCAATTAACCTTGTACAGAAGAGGTGGAAAGGGGGGGGTGAGGGCAAGCCAGACAATCGTAGCGCATTGTAAAGCTGGCGCCTCCGATGGCCGCCACACAGGGTCCCCCGACATCACCAGTCGCGCCTGGAAAAAACAACCGCGGTGCCGTGGCGGGTGGCAGGACAACAAAACCCTACGAGTTTCTTGAAGCTCAAAATCGGACATCCGAACCACCGCGGAGCCCAAACTGGCCGCAGGCGGGAGGAAGGGTGGGAGGAGGGGGGGAACGGAGGAGGAGGAAGAGGGGAAAGGAAGGAAACATAGCAAGAGGGGGGAAGGGGGGAACAGGAGCAAGGGGAACAACAAATCGAGGTGCGAACGCCGCACTGGGCCAGTCGGCTGGCCGCCCCATTGGAAGCACGCGCTGGGGATTTGTCTTGTGGCTAGGCGCTTGGGCCAATATCTGCGGCGTTGGATCCCTCGATCCGTGCTGGGCCTGCAGCGGTGTTTGTACGCTTGGTGAAACGGGTCCCGCGGTCCCGACATGGGGTCGGCAGCTCGTGTCCGGAGCCAGAACATGGGGTCGACAGCTCCAGATTTGCATTTTGCTGGATCCCTGAGGATCCATGCGTGCAAACAGACAACTATGCATATTTGATTTTGGAATGGGGTGCATACAGTACCGTTGGAGGTTGGAAGAACTGGAGAGGAAAAGGGGGTTCATCCACATGTGCCTGGTCTATGAGGCCCAGCTCGAACCGCACCAGCATGCTATCCGAACAGGCTGTCACTCTCTTCTCGCGTCAGCGGACTTCTTCTGGCTCAGACTGTCCAAACATACGGTCTTCAGCAGTCTCTGGCAGCCGCGCTCCTCCTCAGCGCATTACCCGTTGGTGCCCGTCTGCCGCTGTATGTGTTGTCAAGCAACCTGCAAGCTGCTCGCCAATTCAGACGCAGTGCGCGACCGGAAGAGCCAAACCCGCGTGGTCACGCAAATAACTTACTTCAATGTCCAGGCGCCATGTCCTTCAGGTGGCGCGGTCGCCCTGAAAATCAATCGCAGCCGCGCTGTCGATCGATAGTCTGCGCGCCGCGCACATGCCCGCGGACTCGAAGATGGGCTGCGCGCGGAGGCCCGAGAGAAATCCAAGGCTGCCCGCTTGCAGCTCGCACTCACAGGATGACGTCGCTGCCAAAGCGGCCCAGTAGTTACGCCGCGCCACGGAGCAGCAGGCCCAAAACATCGCGCCCAGGTGGTTCGTGTCGCCGCCGTCGGGGCCCCTGAAGTCATCGCTGCAAGTCTTCAATCGTTTTTCTAAGCCTTGTCGCCGAACGGCGTGCACATGATGCCGCAACCGACCGCCTCGCGCACGTACCTCCGCAGCCGCGCGCCCATCTGGACCGCCCGCCCCGGAGCCGCGGCGGCCGCGGAAATGATGCGCACTGCGCGGGCAAGATCTGGGCGGCTGCGCGACGCCAGCCACTGGGGGCTGCAGGCGAGCCGCACTGTCGCCTGGTCAAAGGCTGCTGCCCCTTAGAAATGGAAGCCGCGGCGCGTCGACCTTTCCACCGTCGAACGAGGATAGAGACAAACATGACATCGATGATTACTCCTGCGGCGCTGAACTCGCTGAAAAGGACTCTCGTAAACGCGCTGGGGCCTGCCGGTGGGCGCCGTGGAAAAATCGCCGAGGTCGTCGCCGAGCTCATGGCCCATGGACACCGATGACTAGCGGCACGGGCCCATGCTCGACAGCGCGACTGGGCGGCCCTAGGGGCCAGCAGGCGAGGGCCGCGGCAGCGCGCCAGGGCGCCAGTTGCGCTATCGTTTCAGCCGAAGGGGGGGAGGCTCAATGGCTTCCCGCGGTTAGGTCGAGAACGTGGCCTTCCAAAGCAGCTGGATCGCGGAGGAGAGCGTCTCGCGCTCTGCTCCGACAGAGGCCCCCGCGACATCGTCCACGCGAGTGCCAGCGGGACCAAAGACCTTCGGCGCTCTCATCGGCGCAGCCATTGGCGGTCGCCTCTTGGCCGACGACGCGCCAGGGGGCCGGGCCAAGGCAAGACTGGGCACGGCGCCTGGCAGCGCCGCGCCGCGGTCCACGCCGTCTCGCGCAATGCGCTGCTCATGCGGCACTGCCACTGGCGCGGGCCCACGCGGAGGCCATGGGGCGCCAGGCCCGAGACCCGCAGCTTCGCCGGATCAACGACGCCCGCCCCTGACAATTTTTCTGGGCGGCTGCAAAGCGACCTCCATGTCCGCTGGCGGGGCTGCGTCGATGAGCGCTAGGGCAGCTCAGCGAAGGGCCCCACCTCGCACGGACAACCCCATGCGGTCTGCCTTGCTGCGGGAGCCAAGAATGTGGAACATTTTGCCGAAACGCGATGGACGACACCAGTGCGCGCGGCGCGGATCCATCGCTGCTTACAGGTCGCGCGCGCACTGGGCCCGGCGCCCGACTGCGCGGGCGCGCCTGCTTTCAGATCCACCCCCAACTCTCCATCTTCTTCGCGATGATGTCGACCTCGTTCCGCCAGTCGGTGAACGAAGGCGCGGGCCCTGTCTGGTCGCAGCTGCGGATGGGGCCCTTGGACATCGGGAGCGCCTGTGTCGAGGCCATCCTGGAATAATGAAGGGCTATCGGCGATCGCCGCCTCGCTGGGAGCTCAATCTCGCCGAATTCAGCGCTGGCGGGCGCCGTCGTCTGCGCGCCGGCGACCCGCGGGGGGCGCCCCCCGAATGACTGG